GGAGCAAGATCTATCCCTGCCAAACTCGAAACACACACAAGCTGAGAAGCAGAAATCTTTAGTATCTAGAAATCTTCAGGGTCAAAATGCTGGTGCTGATCGAGTTCAAATGCCTCCACGGTTAGGGACACACTTTCGTAATGAAATTCAATGTTCATTTTTGTAATCTGGCCTTCAAGCTGCTAAAACTTTTAATTTTTATGGGGTTTTAAATTATTGTTTATAGAAGCACAGAAGGGCATTTCCCTCAGTAAACACTGCCTTAGTTAGGTCACACTTGTTTAAAGAATTGGTTTTAACTGCAGCAGTCTACCCAAGTGCTGGTATTTTAATGTAGAACCAAGATAAGATTTGAAGATGCATTTCAAAAGATTTCTATTGTTCAGCTAAGCAAGACCCTGAAGACCATCTCCTCAGTCCACCTCCAGCAAATCACGCTGGAGGTTGAAGAGCCCTACTGTATTCAGAATCAAAGTATAGGAGCTTAAATTCCCATAATAAAACAATTATAAAAAATCACCCCTGCCTCTATAAGCTTTTGAGTGTGTGAAGACTCATCATATGAAAAATATTAACAAAAAATCAGAAGAGGAGAAGGGTAATTCTGGAGGCTGAAACCACAGAGACTTCTTACCACCTATTTCATCATTACAAATATGACAGTCTAACTGAATCAAATTCATGCAAAATTGGTGAAAAACAGATTCCTCTATCTACGAGAAACAATAAAGTTTGGGGATTTGAGGCTGGAAGCTGAAAGAATGAAATACAAGGAGGAGGTGAGATACATCAATGATCACTGATGAAAGGGACTGAACTTAATGCTGCAAGGAATATTTTCCCTACCTATGCATCTCTTCTCCTCTGACCTATGGCCCCAGCTGCTGTCTGACTTAAACATAGCATCAGGAATTACAGAGTAGGTGACAGTTGCATAGCAACTACAGGGACAAAAACCAAGGACTTCTCCCATTCAGCACACCACGAGATTGAAAACCAGCGTCAATAATTTCAACAGTGAGTTTGTTTTTTGGGTTCAGGGAATAAACAAGAACACAAGAAGAGAGAGGACACTTCTCCCTGGGTGTCAAATAAACATACTGTCACAACACTTGGAGAGTAGGCTATGAAATGTGACATTAGTCATGGACTGCAGAACCCAAGAGAAGAGGTGAGAGGGGAATTTTACTCACTGATTTAAAACAAAAGATGACACTTTCTGTGCATTAATGGAGTTTCAAGGAAACATTCAGATGTGCCGTGAGCTTACTGACTCACCATGACCCAGCAAAGCCCGAAGATCTAAAACCTCGGCTGGTCCCACTCAACCTGCAGGATTTCCATCATGGATCTCCATGGAACAACAGTCCTGATCACATCCCAGGCAGCAGTTTAAAGTTCTCCCTTGAGGCCTTGGGTATAAGAGGTGTGAACAGCTATATACAAGGCAAATTTGGGGAGTACACAAAGTCATCTCATATTGCTACCTTTCCAATTTTCTTTTCACCAGATTTTGGTGGAGGGAGGACTTAAACCAATTATTATTTCATTTTATATGTCCTGGGTTGCAGCAATTGCCATGGTCTGCTCCCCTACCCAAGATAAGTGGACTTCACTATCTAGGAGATTCAGAAAATTAATGTCTATGAAATGTAATGTATCAATTGCCAGGATGCAAATCCACTGCAACACTGCCGTGGAGGTTAGAGCAACCTGTCTATTTTGCACTGCAACAGACCAGATGACTAACTGTATCTCTGGAAATGAAGCGGGAACTGACAGCAGAGGGGCAGCAACTTCTGGTAGGTTATTGCAACACATATTGCAAAATTTCACATCATGTAGGTTTTCCAATGCTGAGCAGAGAAATCCCCTTACACCTTCTGAAAATAAGGCCTAGCATTGTTGCTGTCTTTCATGCAAACACAGCTTCTTCCCATTTTTGCAAAGACCTTGGAGTCAGTTTGAGCTTGCAACCAGATACATGAAGTTCTAACCCACTATTTTTAGCACTTAATGGCAAAATGAATAATGCCATTAATCCACTTCAGTATATAACATTCAATTTCCACTTCAAATTGCATCTCAGTGCAAATGGTAGCTTGATTCCTTTTTTTTTAGATACATTCAGAAATTCACGATGAAACAGATTTAATGACTTCTTATTCTCAGATTCAGCTGAAAGGCGGGGAAATCTGTAGTGGTCTTTTGAAACAGTGTGGCAACAAGAGTTGGAGCATTCTGCAGTTGACATTTAAGAACTATTGCAGTATACTGCTGAGACTAACCAGATGGGGAAGGCAGGACCGGAATGTGAATGGCAAAGCACTCCTATGAATTGGGTTACACGTGAGTGCCCCTCCATCAGCAGGTGATCCAGAGCAAAGCCCAGAAGGATGCTATTCCTCCAGCGTGAGCTGTCCTCTATGAACAGGAGCTCTGCCTTTCATCCTGTCCTCACCCTGGGAGGATACAACCTCTACCTGCCACAGGACAGTACCCAAGGACAGAGCTGGCAGAGTGGTTGTCTGTCCAGCCTTGCAAAGACGGGCTCCTCCTTAGGTGGAAAGACAAGTTTACAAGAACAGTGGTGGTCATTATGCCTTGAAATCACTATCCTGGGGGCACTCCCTCGGCTCAAGAAAGCTGGCAAGAAGCAACTGGGGCTCACTGCACAACATAAAGATAAATCTACATAAATCATGCTACATTTGAACCGAGGGAATATTTTTTCCCTGTCATGGGATTAGAGGAATGGGAGAGAGAGTTTGTTGTTTTAAGCTATCTGCTTTAATATACATCACTGTGAGTTTAGGGAGCAACTTTGAAAGAACAATTAAGAGTGTTAAAATGTTAACTGGACACCTTGGTGGGCAAGTCCCCAGCTATTTTTTCAGACTGTATGGTTTTGATTCTAAAGAACTTCAGTGTAAACATGAGTCATGAAGTATACAGGCATCAGTGAGTGCTTTCAAAAAATCAAGTTAAGAAAATTCACTACAGAGATATCGTGTCAGTGAATAATGTGCAAGGAAAATCTACCTTATGATAGCCTGTTAATAAATGATAACTGAAAGTCTCCCTGGTCCTGCAGAGGCTTAAAATCTGTTCAATTCCAGTTAAGATCAGTTATGGCTCCTGTGAGAAAAAGCAGCTGCCTGGGAGGAAGGATTACTTTTGAAACAGTAAAGAAAGGAAAGGGCACATGGAAACTTGTTTTATCTCTCCAGCAGAGATGTCTAGCTGGGCAGATCTTCTAGCACAGGTGCCCAAGGGTGCAATGGGCCTGCTGAAATACTGGAGACTGATCCAGTAACATGCTGGGTCAGACCAACTCAGCCCACAGCTCTGTGTTCCCATGAAATGCGCATGAAGGTTACTAGAAGAAACTTCATTAAAACAGGTCTGATATCAGGGCAGTCTCACATACCCAGCATTTACTCTTAGGAATAAGTGACCTTTCAGAGATTTAAGGGATGATGAGAAAGTTCAGACCAGTTAGGTCAGAAGGCTTCAGGCTGCTGGAGATAGTACCAAGGAAACCGGACCAGCATTAAATGTCCATTCTCCTGAACTGGGGAAGAATAAAAGAAAAAAAGGTTTAACTGAGGCAATTCAACTCGAAGTTCTCTGTTCCTGAAACCAGTGCCGCAAGAGATGGTTTGGAAGTTGGATTCAGCGACAAATTAACTTCCATGTAACTGGTTTAATAACCAGCCGAGCCTCTGGCCCTCCTGGGATGGCCCTTCTCTGCCAGCAGGACACGGCACACTGATGGAGGCAGGGAGAAGGGAACAAGACAAGATCAACTTGCAAGAGCTGGTTAAGCCTTTAGGCTGACCAAGGTCCTTCAGCAGAGCTGGAGAGTCATGGTGCGGGGAGCACGGTGTGGAGACTCACACCCGCGCGGTGCTCCGCTTGCGAGCAAGGAATTTAGGGACCAAAGTAAACAAACAAAACCCAAACCGTTCGTGGGCGAGGTATGACCTCCCTGGGAGCTTGCCTCTGATAAAACCAACGTTCTCTAGCTGGTGGCAGAATTGGAGCATCTCAGTAAATATATCATGGGCATATTGCTCGCACCCCCATCCCACTTGGGTGCTCACCCTCAGGTTGTCGTTACCACGCGGTCCAAGGCCCAGGAGACCCTCCAGGGAGGCACTGTCGGGGCTCCGAGTTTAGCCAGCTCATTCCCACCAGGCAAGAAGAACTCTGGCTCCGGGGAGGAGCGCAGTAGAGGCC